TGGCCTCTTTCAAGTGAGAAGAAAGAGATTCAATTCTCTTCCTAAAGAAGGTGTTTTATGGAATTCAGTAGATGTATTTGAGGATGGCCTCGATGCTCTTGTGGCAAAGCTGGATACTATGCCACTATAGTATCTAAAGTGGCTATTGTGACACAGCTTGTTGATCCAAGGAGAAATCGGAATGCAGATATGGACCTCTAAAGGAATCCTGCTGCCCAATTTGGGGCACAATTGAAAATGACTTCAGGTCTTTCATTTTTCCCTTTCTCCTTCTTTTGGAACAACAAGGGGAAGAAGGGTGGCAGAAATGTTCAAGCTGAGTCTTCTTTTCATCCTGCATTACTTTTGTAACTTTATGTGTTACTGTTCCATTTTCAAAGATCAAATGAGTATGAAACAAGTGCATTTCCATGTCCACATAAGTGGCACGCTGTGGCAAATAAGGAAGCGGTATTTAAACGGCGTGATACGTTTATTCATCCACAGAAGGCTGTAAGAAAAAAAAGAAAGGAGTGGGATGGCAGCGGTGGGATTCGAACCCACGCCCCCGAAGAGACTGGAGCCTTAATCCAGCGCCTTAGACCGCTCGGCCACGCTACCTGCACATGCGCCTGGTGCCTGCGTACTCACAACACCAACGCCATTTGGGAGCGTTCTGATCATTTCGTTTTCTTAGGGAAAGGGCTGTCCTCCAGTATTCAGCATTCAAATGCTGCCTCTAGGAAATCGATTCATTAACCTGTTTTGACAGGGAGTAAAGCAAAAAAAAGGAGGAACCCTTAAAATGACACGCTAAGTGGACTGTGGGACTCTATTTTTGGGTCCCGACTCCTAGGTTAAAAACCACAGGATTCATTTGAAACAATCAGGAATACTGCCGCATGACAATTCTACCTATTGTAGATCGGCAGGACTTTTCCCGCTTTGGCCATCAACATAATGAAACAACACAAGTACGGGATATATGGATTATATATTCTAAGCCTGCTAAGTATGGGTCGGGTGCCTTGCCTCGCTTTGCTTTTTATCCAACTCTTGTATGACAAGAGATCTGTGCTTATTCTTCTCCAAAGCAAAAGCAGCTTGACCCCGACGTGATTTGAACACGCAACCTTCTGATCTGGAGTCAGACGCGCTACCGTTGCGCCACGAGGTCTCACTGTAAGGGTGGGTGTGGTCGTCAACAGAGTAGCCAACAAAGGTAGGTTATGTCCCCCAACCGACATTAAATTAGATAGATTCTGACAAATTCGATATTCAGCTTAAAGAGGAAAGAAAATAATCTGCATTCCGTACTTTTCTTTTCAGCACAATACCACTGTAATTGAAGGCAAAGCCAAACAGAAAGGCACCAGCTAGCCAGTTTCTGTGTTTGTGGCAATGTGAAGCCATACCGGTTTAATTACATTACAATGGAACATCCAAATGCTGTGGTGAATCGTGCATGGTGTGGTATTCTCCACGTCACTTACTCTTTGCTAGCTTTATGTTTAGGACAATTTATGGCCTCTTTCAAGTGAGAAGAAAGAGATTCAATTCTCTTCCTAAAGAAGGTGTTTTATGGAATTCAGTAGATGTATTTGAGGATGGCCTCGATGCTCTTGTGGCAAAGCTGGATACTATGCCACTATAGTATCTAAAGTGGCTATTGTGACACAGCTTGTTGATCCAAGGAGAAATCGGAATGCAGATATGGACCTCTAAAGGAATCCTGCTGCCCAATTTGGGGCACAATTGAAAATGACTTCAGGTCTTTCATTTTTCCCTTTCTCCTTCTTTTGGAACAACAAGGGGAAGAAGGGTGGCAGAAATGTTCAAGCTGAGTCTTCTTTTCATCCTGCATTACTTTTGTAACTTTATGTGTTACTGTTCCATTTTCAAAGATCAAATGAGTATGAAACAAGTGCATTTCCATGTCCACATAAGTGGCACGCTGTGGCAAATAAGGAAGCGGTATTTAAACGGCGTGATACGTTTATTCATCCACAGAAGGCTGTAAGAAAAAAAAGAAAGGAGTGGGATGGCAGCGGTGGGATTCGAACCCACGCCCCCGAAGAGACTGGAGCCTTAATCCAGCGCCTTAGACCGCTCGGCCACGCTACCTGCACATGCGCCTGGTGCCTGCGTACTCACAACACCAACGCCATTTGGGAGCGTTCTGATCATTTCGTTTTCTTAGGGAAAGGGCTGTCCTCCAGTATTCAGCATTCAAATGCTGCCTCTAGGAAATCGATTCATTAACCTGTTTTGACAGGGAGTAAAGCAAAAAAAAGGAGGAACCCTTAAAATGACACGCTAAGTGGACTGTGGGACTCTATTTTTGGGTCCCGACTCCTAGGTTAAAAACCACAGGATTCATTTGAAACAATCAGGAATACTGCCGCATGACAATTCTACCTATTGTAGATCGGCAGGACTTTTCCCGCTTTGGCCATCAACATAATGAAACAACACAAGTACGGGATATATGGATTATATATGCTAAGCCTGCTAAGTATGGGTCGGGTGCCTTGCCTCGCTTTGCTTTTTATCCAACTCTTGTATGACAAGAGATCTGTGCTTATTCTTCTCCAAAGCAAAAGCAGCTTGACCCGACGTGATTTGAACACGCAACCTTCTGATCTGGAGTCAGACGCGCTACCGTTGCGCCACGAGGTCTCACTGTAAGGGTGGGTGTGGTCGTCAACAGAGTAGCCAACAAAGGTAGGTTATGTCCCCCAACCGACATTAAATTAGATAGATTCTGACAAATTCGATATTCAGCTTAAAGAGGAAAGAAAATAAGTACTTTTCTTTTCAGCACAATACCACTGTAATTGAAGGCAAAGCCAAACAGAAAGGCACCAGCTAGCCAGTTTCTGTGTTTGTGGCAATGTGAAGCCATACCGGTTTAATTACATTACAATGGAACATCCAAATGCTGTGGTGAATCGTGCATGGTGTGGAATTCTCCACGTCACTTACTCTTTGCTAGCTTTATGTTTAGGACAATTTATGGCCTCTTTCAAGTGAGAAGAAAGAGATTCAATTCTCTTCCTAAAGAAGGTGTTTTATGGAATTCAGTAGATGTATTTGAGGATGGCCTCGATGCTCTTGTGGCAAAGCTGGATACTATGCCACTATAGTATCTAAAGTGGCTATTGTGACACAGCTTGTTGATCCAAGGAGAAATCGGAATGCAGATATGGACCTCTAAAGGAATCCTGCTGCCCAATTTGGGGCACAATTGAAAATGACTTCAGGTCTTTCATTTTTCCCTTTCTCCTTCTTTTGGAACAACAAGGGGAAGAAGGGTGGCAGAAATGTTCAAGCTGAGTCTTCTTTTCATCCTGCATTACTTTTGTAACTTTATGTGTTACTGTTCCATTTTCAAAGATCAAATGAGTATGAAACAAGTGCATTTCCATGTCCACATAAGTGGCACGCTGTGGCAAATAAGGAAGCGGTATTTAAACGGCGTGATACGTTTATTCATCCACAGAAGGCTGTAAGAAAAAAAAGAAAGGAGTGGGATGGCAGCGGTGGGATTCGAACCCACGCCCCCGAAGAGACTGGAGCCTTAATCCAGCGCCTTAGACCGCTCGGCCACGCTACCTGCACATGCGCCTGGTGCCTGCGTACTCACAACACGAACGCCATTTGGGAGCGTTCTGATCATTTCGTTTTCTTAGGGAAAGGGCTGTCCTCCAGTATTCAGCATTCAAATGCTGCCTCTAGGAAATCGATTCATTAACCTGTTTTGACAGGGAGTAAAGCAAAAAAAAGGAGGAACCCTTAAAATGACACGCTAAGTGGACTGTGGGACTCTATTTTTGGGTCCCGACTCCTAGGTTAAAAACCACAGGATTCATTTGAAACAATCAGGAATACTGCCGCATGACAATTCTACCTATTGTAGATCGGCAGGACTTTTCCCGCTTTGGCCATCAACATAATGAAACAACACAAGTACGGGATATATGGATTATATATTCTAAGCCTGCTAAGTATGGGTCGGGTGCCTTGCCTCGCTTTGCTTTTTATCCAACTCTTGTATGACAAGAGATCTGTGCTTATTCTTCTCCAAAGCAAAAGCAGCTTGACCCCGACGTGATTTGAACACGCAACCTTCTGATCTGGAGTCAGACGCGCTACCGTTGCGCCACGAGGTCTCACTGTAAGGGTGGGTGTGGTCGTCAACAGAGTAGCCAACAAAGGTAGGTTATGTCCCCCAACCGACATTAAATTAGATAGATTCTGACAAATTCGATATTCAGCTTAAAGAGGAAAGAAAATAAGTACTTTTCTTTTCAGCACAATACCACTGTAATTGAAGGCAAAGCCAAACAGAAAGGCACCAGCTAGCCAGTTTCTGTGTTTGTGGCAATGTGAAGCCATACCGGTTTATTACATTACAATGGAACATCCAAATGCTGTGGTGAATCGTGCATGGTGTGGAATTCTCCACGTGACTTACTCTTTGTTAGCTTTATGTTTAGGACAATTAATGGCCTCATTCAAGTGAGAAGAAAGAGATTCAATTCTCTTCCTAAAGAAGGTGTTTTATGGAATTCAGTAGATGTATTTGATGATGGCCTCGATGATCTTGTGGCAAAGCTGGATACTATTCCACTATAGTATCTAAAGTAGGTATTGTGACACAGCGTGCTGATCCAAGGAGAAATGGGAATGCAAATATGGATTTCTAAAGGAATCCTGCTGCCCAATTTGGGGCACAATTGAAAATGACTTCAGGTCTTTCATTTTTCCCTTTCTCCTTCTTTTGGAACAACAAGGGGGAGAAGGGTGGCAGAAATGTTCAAGCTGAGTCTTCTTTTCATCCTGCATTACTTTTGTAACTTTATACACACATTTTCAAAGATCAAATGAGTATGAAACAAGTGCGTATTTCCATGTCCACATATGTGGCACGCTGTGGCAAATAAGGAAGCGGTAGAATTTAAACGGCGTGATACGTTTATTCATCCACAGAAGGTTGTAAGAAAAGAAAGGAGTGGGGATGGCAGCGGTGGATTCAACCCACGCTCTCAAGAGACTGGAGCCTTAATCCAGCGCCTTAGACCGCTCGGCCACGCTACCTGCACATGCGCCTGGTGCCTGCGTACTCACAACACGAATGCCATTTGGGAGCGTTCTCATCATTTCGTTTTCTTAGGGAAAGGCTGTCCTCCAGTATTCAGCATTCAAATGCTGCCTCTAGGAAATCGATTCATTAACCTGTTTTGACAGGGAGTAAAGCAAAAAAAAGGAGGAACCCTTAAAATGACGCGCTAAGTGGACTGTGGGACTCTATTTTTGGGTCCCGACTCCTAGGTTAAAAACCACAGGATTCATTTGAAACAATCAGGAATACT